CGTCACAAAGTGGGCCAATATAACCTGTGCTGCAATTACAAATGTTTGGGCCTTCACAGATACCATGTCCATTACAAACTCTAGGATCACTCGAATTGAAACCATTACACAAAGAAACATCACAAAATGAACCAACATAACCTGTGGTACAATTGCAAACATCTGGTCCTTCACAAATACCATGTCCATTACAAGCTCTAGGATCACTCGAATTGAAACCATAACACAAAGAAACATCACAAAATGAACCAACATAACCTGTAGTGCAATTACAAATGTTTGGGCCTTCACAGATACCATGTCTATTACAAACTCTAGGATCACTTGAATTGAAACCATAACACAAAGAAACATCACAAAATGAACCAACATAACCTGTAGTGCAATTACAAATGTTTGGGCCTTCACAAATACCATGTCTATTACAAGCTCTTGAATCACTTGAATTGAAACCATCACATGCCACAACATCACAAAATGAACCAACATAACCTGTGGTACAATTGCAAACATCTGGTCCTTCACAAATACCATGTCCATTACAAACTCTAGGATCACTCGAATTGAAACCATAACACAAAGAAACATCACAAAATGAACCAACATAACCTGTAGTGCAATTACAAATGTTTGGGCCTTCACAAATACCATGTCTATTACAAGCTCTAGGATCACTTATTTTAAAACCATCACATGCCACAACATCACAAAATGAACCAATATAACCTGTGCTGCAATTACAAATGTTTGGTCCTTCACAGATACCATGTCCATTACAAGCTCTTGAATCACTTGAATTGAAACCATCACATGCCACATCATCACATAGTGGGCCAATATAACCTGTGCTGCAATTACAAATATCTGGTCCTTCACAAATACCATGTCCATTACAAACTCTTGAATCACTCGAATTGAAACCATAACACAAAGAAACATCACAAAATGAACCAACATAACCTGTAGTGCAATTACAAATGTTTGGTCCTTCACAAATACCATGTCCATTACAAGCTCTAGGATCACTCGAATTGAAACCATTACATGCCACAACATCACATAATGAACCAATATAGCCAGGGTTACAAGTGCAAACATCTGTTAAATAACATATTCCGTGCCCACTACAAACCATAGGATCACTTGCTAGAGTTCCATTGCATAGACGAGTTGTTGAAACCAATCTCAAGAAATTATTTCCAGTATCTGAAATAAGCACCTCACCTGTTGTTTGGCGAACAGAAACGAAATAAGGAGTATAGAATTTGGCATCAGCTGCTTCCACATTATCACCATAATAACCTCTTGAACCAGTTCCTGAAAATGTTATAATGGTTCCATTTGTCAATATTTTACGAATTCGATGATTTGAAAATCCATTCTCAGACTCAGTAATATAAACTTCACCGTTCGTATCTACAGCAATTCCATTAACGAAAGCAAGTTTGGCATTTGTTGCAAGAACATTATCAATGAAACCATAGCCTCCATTTCCAGCAATAGTTATAATTGTTCCATTTGATAAAATCTTTCTAATCCTATAATTATTAGCATCAGCAATGTAGAGCTCAGAATTAACATCAAGGGCAATACCATACACGCCTCTTATTTGAGCGCTTGTTGCATCAATTCCATCTCCATTATATCCTGTTTCACCTGTTCCAGCAATAGTTATTATAGTACCGTTTGTTAAAATCTTTCTAATTCTATTATTAGCAGTGTCAGCAATAAAAAGCTCACCAGTTTTAGAATCCACAACAATACCTGATGGATTATTTAATTTTGCAATCTTAGCATCAATTCCATCTCCATTATATCCTGATTGTCCAGTTCCAGCAATAATGACCATTGTTCCATTTCTAAGAATTTTACGAATGACATGATTACCAGAATCTGAGACAATCAATTGGGTTTCTAGATCAAAGGCAACTGCAAAAGGATTTGATAATTGTGTATCTGTAGCAAATAAATTATCTCCATTAAAACCAAATTTACCTGTACCAGCAATAGAGTCAATCATTCCATTCTTTGAAATTCTACTAATCCTATGACCTTGAGTTTCAGCTACATAAATATCTCCATTCGCACTAAAATAAGTTCCTTTTGGACTTACCAATGGAGTGTTAGATGCTGTAATACCTGCACAATCATTTGAACTTCCACTCCCTGCCAGTGGAATGATAGTTCCATTTGTTAATACTCTGCGAATCCTGTTACCGTATGTTTCTGAAATGATCATTTCTCCATTAGGTGTAATCAAAACACCCAATGGATAATTCAAATTGGCATTTGTTGCATATTGATAATCACCATTGTACTTAGAGTTA